ACAAGAATTCAAAAACTGAGGAGAGGCTTAGGGACCTCTGGGACAACTTTAAATGATCCAACATCTGAATCATAGGGATCCTAGGAGGAGAAGAGGAAGAGCAAGGCATTGAAAACTTATTTGAAAACATAATGAAGGAGAATTTCCCCAATCTGGCAAAGGAAATAAACTTCTAGGAAGTCCAGGAATCTCAGAGAGTCCCAAAGAAGTTGGACCCAAGGAAGCACATACCAAGGCACATCATAATTATGTTACTCAAGATTAAAGATAAGAAGAGAATCTTAAAAGCAGCAAGAGTAAAGCAGAGAGTTACCTAGAAAGGAGTTCCCATAAGACTATCAGCTGATTTCTCAAAAGAAGTATTCAAAGTCATGAAAGACAAGGACCTACATCCAAGATTATTCTATCCAGCAAAGCTATCATTTAGAGTGGAAGGGCAGATAAAGTGCTTCCCAGATAAGGCCAAGTTAAAGGAGTTCATCATCACCAAGGCCTTGTTATATGAAATGTTAAAGGGACTTGTTAAAGGGACTTGTCTAAGAAAAAGAAAAATATCAAAACTAGGAACAGTAAAATGACAACAAAGTCACAACTATCAACGACTGAAACTAAAACAAAAACAAAAACAAAAGCAAACTAAGTAAACAACTAGAACAGGAACAGAATCATAGAAATGGAGATCAGAGGGGTGGGGGAGGGGAAGAGTACAGGGAATAAGCAGCATAAATAGTAGGTACAAAATAGACAGGAGATTAAGAATAGTATAGGAAACGGAGAAGCCCAAGAACTTATATGTACGACCCATGGACATGAACTAAGGGGCGGGGGGGTAATGCCGGGGTGGGGGGAAGGACAGTGCAGGGTGGAGGGGAATAAAAGGGAGGAAAACATGGGACAACTGTAATAGCATAATCAATAAAATATATATTTAAAAGAAAAGACTAGCCCCTTATAAATATAATTATAAACTATAAATACAAATATATGGTAATGTTATTTGTGGAGCATCCAAGATCTCATTTTCAGTTAGGTGTTCTCATAAATACTACTTTGTTTCTTTTAAAATACAATCATGAAAACCCATAAAGTAAATGAAAGTGGAAATTTGAGTTAGACCAGCAACAAATTGATAAATTGGGGCTAAACTAGGGCTGCCTATTCTTTTCATGATGCTTATGATGGACAACTGTCATAAAACTTTCAAGTTAATGTTTATATTTATTAACTCTTCCTGAAGGATACTAGAATCTACTTAGTGACAGGATTTTCAATTCCAGAAACTCCAGTCAAAGATTTATAAACAGCCTCAAGCCCAATAACACCATACAGTTTATCTTGGTTTTGAGAGTTACTGAAAAAACAATTAAACAATAATCTGACTGTAGTCATATCTATATACACAGCATGATTCAAATCACAGAAGTTCTCTAAATCTGAGATGTCCAATGTGGTAGTCACCAGCCACATGTGGCTATTGAGCCATTTGAAATATGACCAATCTGAATTGATGTATCCTCTAAATATAAAATATACACCATTTTCAAACTGTTGTAATAGAAATAAGGATATAAAATATCTTATTAATATTTTTATACTGATTACATGTCAAAATGGTAATAATTTAATATACTGGGTTAAGTAAGATATATTGTTAAAATGAATTTAACTTGTTTATATTTACCCTTTTTTAATGTGGCTAATAGAAAACTTTAAATTCCACATATGGCTTGGATTATATTTTTCTATTGGACAGCAGGTCTCTAAATAAAGGTGGAAATTTTCATAATGCTATTCCTTTCAAGACAGTTTTCAAAAAGGGAGCTTTAGGAATTAGAGTTAAGATTACTTAATGTTTCCTGATCAAATTACCTGTCACCATCCAAGATTAAAACCTATATTTAATTTTCACCTATAATAAGCTGAGTTTTAGAATGATCATATGATAAGAAATATGCCTTACATGAAGTCACAGAATATTTGACATATATACTGACATGAGTATTCAATAACATGTAAATCTGCAGTTCTAAAACTTTTGAGGGCTTTGAACTATAGAGGCAGAGCAATAACCTTAGTGCATCTTCTACAGGACTTTCCAAGACACCCCAACACAAAAACTATATTCAATTAACCAAAAACAGTACTGATATGAACTGAATTGTGTCTAACCAAAGTTCACTTTGAAGACCTAATTCCCAATGTTGATGGTATTTAGAAATGGGGCCATCGGGAGGAGATGAGGTCATGAGGATGGGACACTGATAATGGGATTAGTGTCTTTATAAAAAGAAAAAGAGATCATACCTCTCTTTTCCTTTTTCTCTACCTTGTGAAGACACTACCAGAAGGAGGCCGTCTACAAGCCAAGGAGGGAGCCCTCAGCAGAAGCTGATACTGCCAGAGCTTGACCTGGGACTTCTAGTTTTCAGAACTATAAGAAAATAAATTTCTATTGTTGAACCCACACAGTCTATTATGTTTTGTTATGGCAGCTTAAGCAACTAATATCGACACCTACCGCTTAAGGCAATCTCTTAATATCATAATTAATATACACATGTTTATTATAAATACATTATACATTTTTGTTATATAAAGGGAATGTGATTTGCACACTACAGAGAATAAATATCTTCTGATTTTCTCTATTGTCAATAGAACACATCTGACCTATGGCCTCTAGAGACCAGCTGGCTTATAGGCCATCTTTAGAGAACCAGAAAAAAGGTTCACGGAAAATGATTATTACTTAAAAACATTAGTAATTTAAAATATTTTCTTAGCTATATCAAAAATATTTTCTTCAGTAAGTGGAATTCATATTTCTACTTGAAATGAAAATGTTAAGTTATTAATATCTCCCCTGGGGATTTGCTTCTGGGTATTGCACTTTCAATCATTTCATCATATTTTAAGCATAATAAAATCTCATTTACACTCCAAGGCATGCATGATCCTAAATGTTCTTCAGTCAATATAGTACTCAGCCTTGTGTCTTTTGGAATAACATTCTTTAAAACATTACAAAAAGAAAAAAGGAAAGGGTCCTAGCCGGGGGAACAAAATGCTATGTTTCTTTAGAAACATTAAAAAACTTCTTTGAGTTTTTAACTGCCTGGTTTTAAAGAAAGAAAGCGGGTCAGGGTGGGCAGCATGGAAATGGAAGAAAACCAAATAGGGTAACTGATTTAATCCCTCTGGTCACTTTAATCCCTTCTGCCCCCTTTTAGAACTCCAAGGGGTCTAAGAACTCCAAGAAATCTACACAAAATTGCATTTGTCTTATACATATTTTCTGGGGAAAGGGACCTGAGCTTTGAATATAATCTCCAAGGAGACAGTGACCAAAAAGGTTAAGAACCTCTTGTGTTAGGGTTTGCTTTAATGAAATGAATGATCAGTTTCCCTCCCGCCTGGGCTAGGTATAACTGCCTCCCCACTTGCTGCATAATACCTAAGACCTCAGGATGTGTACCAGTCCCTCCTGCCACTACTTGGTTGGCTACCTTGTTCCTTGGTTTTGCTTCCCAGGGTTGTATGTTTATGCTAGTTGCCTCCAACTTTCCCCTTCCTCCCAGCCGTCCTTCCCTGAATATCCCTGTTTAATAAGAGTGGACCCTGCGTTGCTGTGTCCTTACTTGAGTGTGACTCACAGTAGAACTTACCATGTTTATCAACATACCTCTTTCCCTTATTCCCATTTACTCTTTTGGGGCCACCTGAATTTGCACCATTGTTGAATGTGTGTTGTTTACCTCTTTACTCTTTAGAAATGGGTCTAGAAATGATCAGTTTGGCCAGGTACTTTAAGGCATATCAGATCCTGTACAGCCATTCCTACGTGGTGTAAAATTCTCTTCCATTCCCACCTTAAAAATGCTGTGAGAAAGAAATGGGGTGTTGTTTATGTCAATGGTTTGGGCACTATCACATTAAGTGGCAGAGTTCCCCTGCACCTGCCTTGTCCATTTCTTCCCTAAGAGTCAAAGCAATCAAACACCCACAGACTTTGCACCCCTCATCCTTCCACCCGCTCCAAGTCCCGCATTCCAAGTTCTCTCCTTAAATATAACTCCGGCTCTTCCTACATCCTTTCTTGTAAAGAATTGAAGTTCACTCTTTCTGTACTCTTCTCACCAATAAATTCTAAAAATTTTCTTCGTTTCCTTGCAGAGCGCAGATGGGTAAGTTTTTGGCATTTGTTTTTCTAAAACTTGCCTAAAACCAGTGAGTCGGGCCCTTGGACATCCTGGATCTCAAGGCAAGGAGGGGCTCGCCAGGAGGGTCTCTGACACCCAGGATTATTTATAACAAGATCGGCACCAGGGAGTGGCTAGAGGCAGGCGAACTGCAGCGCCCCGACTCCTCGACCCCCGAGGCGCCGGCCTAAAGACCCCCCTGTGGAAGGCCGGCCGGGCCGAATGAGGGCGCTGCGGCCTCCGGCTCCTCCTTGGGGCGCGCGCGGCCAGGTTAGTGGGTGGCTGCGGCCCGGGCCCCCGGGGATGGCCGCGGCTGCGCTCCGCCAGCAGGTGGCCCCGGGGTCCCGGCGGCGCCGCCTCCTCCCGGCGCCCCTCCTCCCGCGGGGGCGGTCAGCGCCCCGACCCGGCTCGCACCCTGTCGCCGCCGCCGCCTTCAGCCCGCCCGCTGCCCGCCCGCCGCGTCCCCGGGGCCGCGCTCGCCGCCGCCACCACCACCGCTACCGCCACCACTACCGCCGCGTCCCGAGCTGCGCCCAGGCCGGCCCGCGGCGACATCCTGGGGCGCCCGCCACCCCGGCCCGCCCTCCCCGCCCCCAACTCGCTCCCGAACGGAAAGTTCGGCTCCGGCCGGGTTTTCCCAGAAGCCGGGAAGGAGCCGGGGTCGGGGGGCGTGTGGAGGGGACCCGGGTGGCGGCCAGGAGGGGGCAACTTCTCCCGAGAAAGCGCCTCCTGCCGAGCTCGGCGCGCCGCAGCCCCCGAGAGGGTTCGAGGTGGTTCTTCCCTTCCCTTGGCCTCCCCCCTGCGGATTCCACAGACGGACCTTGGTCCCGGCGCTCCCGCTGCCGGGTGACACGAGCCCAAGCCGCCGCCACTGCCGCCGCCTCGGCAGCCCGTGGCCGCAGCCCTGCCTGCAGCACCATGGAGTTCTCCGAGAGGAAAAGGAGCAGGAAATCCCAGAGCTTCAAACTGGTGAGCGGAGGTAAGCGGCGCCGGGCCGGGCGTGCAGGCGGCGGGCAAGGACGTGGCGCCGCGTAAACAGCTCCGCGCGCGGCCCGCGCCCCGTTCCGGGCTCCGGGACCCCGAGTTCCCTCCTGAGGGGGGCCGCGTCCGCACACGCAGGGAGGCGAGCAAAGTTGTGCGGGGGGAGGCGGGAGGTTGTTATTCTGCGTAAACAAGTCGGAGGGCACTAAGGAAATTAGCAAACAATGACACTTGGGGAGCCGAGAGCCCTCTTTGGTATTCCACTCCTGCGGCCAGGTTGGGGGCTGGGGGAGAACTGCCTTTCCATCAGGCCGTGCGGACACGGATCCCCACCAATGCTTGTGGGCTTGGGGATTTTTTTCCCCCAAAAGAGAAGGGGAAAGGGTGGTGGTGGCTCTTTTAAGAACGGTAAAGCTCACGAGCCTTGCAAGCCCATATAAGAATTGTTGATATCCGAAATCTTTTCTAGATGCGTTATTTGGTCTGCAGAGATATCTTAGAATACATCACTTATCAGTTCAGTTAGTATCATTAAAAAAAAAAAAGCCAGTTCCTGACTATTTAACAGGTGTACACCAGAGTCTCTGGGCTTGGGTTGATTCTTGCAAGGGAGGGGAAAGTTGAGTAGTGTCATCAGTTGAACATTTTGTGTTCAGTTACTTGTTAGAGTCTTTATTTTCCTGATTTGACTTTTTAAAAAAACGGTCAGAACTTAAGGTAAGAACAGATGCAAAATGTCTATGGAAATGCATTGTGTCGCTTTAAATGAGAGGCAGGTGACTATTTTTCATGGCAGTGTCACAAGTCCTAATATTGAGTTTACCTTTGAATCAACGTGAGGTCAAAACCAAATCACAGAAGCTGTCCATTTTTCCTTGGTTGCTTTGACATCAGTGTAGAGAGCAAGGCAATTGTTTTAAAAACCTGGAGAAGTCACGTATAAGTTGATGAAAATTAGAGGGCAATTGCAAGTAATAGAGATTTTCATGCTAAGCTAAGCTAACTATGATTCAGAGTCAATAAAGCCTGCTTTCAGTTGGTTCTGAAAATGGTTTTCTTAGAAACAGTTTGAAGATCTGCTCCTGTTTCCCCTGCTTTAGTTTGACACTGTAAAATGAAAGAAGTCTGGAATAATTTTAAAAATTCAAAATATTTGGCTCTTTCCTCTTTCTATGTACATTTTTCCCCCCAGCAGTGTTGATTACTCAGTCATTTGTACTTCAGAAATCTCTCCCTGTGTGACTGGCCTATTTGTCTACCTGATTCATTCAGGAATGTAAGCTGCTTTCTTACTTATGACCTCAGGGAACTTACTACTTTATCTTAAAAGTGAGAATACTTCTGTAGATCTTGTCTTGTGAGGTCCAAGGCCACACACACACACACACACACACACACACACACACACACAGAAAAAGAAAGAAAAGAAAAGGAATAGCTGTTAAAGAAGGAACTTTTATTTTCTTACCTAGGTGACCCTATTTTTTAGAAATAGATTGCCAAAGTACAGTAGCCCCTTTAGAGAAGCTTGTAAAATATTGTATTTTGAAGTTTGACTGACATAGCAAGTTTTTCTTCTTTTCCCCCCCTAAATTATGGGTCTGATTCTCTCTCTGCTCTGCAGGTGCTTTTTTAGAAAATAAACTATTGCATATTAAAGTACAGTAGCTGAATGCAGAAGACTCACTTGTGTGAAAGATGAGAATCTTTCTTATCCTATCATACTTACCATACTATATATGAAATAATAAGTCAGTATTTTTCCAGTGTTACTGCCTACAAGATGCTTAAAGGAGGGGGTTTTTCTAGGTAAACTGAGCATACCAGGTAATTGTAAAGCATGCTGTTGATCATATGCTCATGAAAATGGGTTGTGGAGATATATTTGGAATCCTCCCTTGGCCTATGATTGGGCAAAGTTTTCTTTTCCTTATAAGTATCCTTGTCATTTGTAAGAAACGAAGCCCAGTAATTGGCATCTGTGGGCCAAATTTACTGTGAAAACCGTGTGGTCAAGCAAAGCTGTTTCTAAAGTCAAAGTAAGATTTCAAGTGTGTGTACTTCAGAGAAAGCAAAGTTTTAGGGGTTATTAGTAATTACAAATTCTGTGATTGATGAAGTTCTGGAAAATTCTATTTATAATTAATGTATAGGTTATCCACACTGTATAGAATTAGACTCTAGTCTTCATTGTTTATTCATATAGTACAGGTCATTAGAATTCTAATTTTTGGTTGTTTTCTCATCCCAGATTATCACCATGAGGTATATAAGCTCTCAGAATTCAGCAACGATGTCAATGGGGAGGCCAAAGAGACACAACCCATTTTTTTAGGTAGGTTCCTATGTCAGTTAATTTCTCAGCAAAACAATGTGATCATTTACAATTAGACCGGGCGGGAGGAGGGGCAGGGGGGCGGCGGGAGGGGTCCCGTTGTGTCAGAGAGGGAAATATCTGCCATTGCTTAGTGTATGACATTCTTTTCAAGGCCTTTTATTTTACAGATTGACAATATATTCCTTATTAACATTGGTAAAAGTTGTAATTTCAGACATAAATGTTTATTAGTGTCTACACACAGTGCTAATTATCACTCACTCCCAGAGCCAGATGCTGACGGTGCAGTTTTGTCGCTCAGTGCTCACCCCATTTACATTGCATATTTGCTGGCACGCTTCACTGGCAATAGTTTGTGTAATTGGGGTATTACATCTTTGACATCTGGATAACAGAAATTCAATTTCCAGGAAGCTGCTATTTGTTTGGTTTTACCTCTCTGCCTTGGGTGGGATAGAGGATTAATACGCTGTCTTATTATTATGTCCCTTCACCTTTGTGGCCTGGTTGCTAATCCTGCCATGACAAAATTAAATTAAACGTACAGTCCAAAAGCCAAAGGAAAATAAAAGTGTGATTGTCTGCCTAACCCCCTCTTGATAGTTAGTACCAGTTATCACAGTTCAGCTCCTCGTTTTCCTGGCTTTGTGTTCATTTCACGCCAACATTTGGGGTCAGAGACTAGCCCTGCTTTGCTCCCACTGTCCTCATTCCTAGCTCAGCTCGGGGACACAGAGCAAACAGCAGCATCTTTGAGACCTTCTGACAGATGTAGCTGCATGATGAATGAGTAGGTAGCCCCAAAATGTTGCCACTCTTTTTCTGTGTAGTTTTTGGTCCCTTGCATGTGCGCTGCGTCATCTGCAGACCCTCAGCCCAAAATTAGGATTTTGCCTCTAGGAGTGAAGGACCCATAAAATCATACTGGAGAGTAAATGGTGGCATTTGGCTATGACCTTGCCCATCCTGGACTCCTCTCCATCGCTGGTAGTCGGGGGAAGGCTGGGTGTGGGACAACAGCAAAGCAGAGAAAGGGAGAAAGTCTGGGCAAGAGTGATTAAAAGCAAGGGCCAGGATTGCCGTATCCCTCGGGAGAGTTGACGGGGCTTAAGGAAGTGGATTGCTGCTCAGGCACAGGTGTGTAGTGCTACAAATTAAAACATTGTGAAAGCCAGATGCATGTAGTGGTCTGTCACCAGGGTCTCTCTTTTTGCTTTGAGGAAGAGAAAATGTGGGTGGCAAATGACTAAGAAGTCAAACAGAGATTAATAGAGGTATACAGGAGGAGCATAGCATTTATTAACAAGCAATCATTGAAGACACATGGATCTTTCCATTGAGGGAGAGAATATTACTAAGGCCAGCACTGCTCTCACCTGTTTATTGTTAAAAACTAAAAACCAAAAGGTTAATAGTCAAGTGAAATGCTATGACTGAGAAGGAGAATATTCTCGGATTGTACTCTTTCCAGTTCCTTAATCAGTTGGAATTCTCTGTTTTCGGTTCTTTAAACTTGATCAGTTGGAATTCAGTATCTAGGTACCACTCAATTTATCCATTTGAAATGAAGAATTTGTCTATTAGTAGTAGAAAATTTACATATGTCATAAAAATAGAACATCATGTCTTTGGTCTAGTATTCCGCTGTAAAGCAGGCTTCCCCCTCTTTCTGCTGTGTACTTGGAAAGCAGTTAGGATGCTTTACAGTAGGTTACTTCTGAGTAGGAGAGAGTGGAAGGGGGAGAACGGGAAAATACTACTGCTCAAAATTCAGTAAAATGTACACTCTTGAAGGGGCAGAAATTGCTGCTTTTATTTTTCCTAGCTCAAGTCCAGGACAATGAGAGAACATCAGTGAAAGACCAGGGTTGGGATAAGCTTTCCAAATTGGGCAGGAAGGCCTTCGACATTAAGAGACAAAAGACTGAACAGCATGAAAGTGTGCCTCACTGACTTCTCAATATTTTGCTCATTCTGGGCAAGGTATGATATGGTTCCCGAAGAACATTTTATTTTGCAATCTCCTGTGGAAGAGCAAGTAATTACACAAACACAATTTCTAGGGCAATTGCGAATAGTTATGGATACCATATACAATTAAGAATTTTGTTGTTGACGATGTTATAAAATGGACATTTTTTAGTTTGTAATTACTCTTCTGAAAATGTAGATTTAAATCATGTAAGTCTCCAGTGTCTGTCCATAATATTACTTCGTAGAAAATGGTGTGAGGTTTATGACATCCAAGGAAGTTTGTTAGCAAAACACCTGAAGAACTGTTTCACCTATAAGACAGCCTTAAAATATGACTCTCTTGTTGTTGTGTGGTATTTTCTGTGTGCACGCGTGGGTTACCCTTGACACCTATAGGATTAAAGTTCATGTCTTACGGAAAGAGAGTGCTCCAGAATTTGGCAGAAGTCCCCACAGGAAATCTATGTCTCTGTAATATTTTTAGGCTGTTGACTATGTAGGGCGTCCAACATGGGAGGACAGCTCCACAGTGGGAACAGCTTGGCTGTGTGCTCTGGGAGTCACACATTTTTAGTGATAATAGGACCAGCAGAGGTTACTTTAACCCTGTGCACATTGACTCTGTCAAGCTGGCCTTGATGGACTAATGTAAAGATTTCAGCACTATTTAGAGAAAAGCAACTTAATTCCTTTTAGTCAATTCAACAGATGTTTGTGGGAAAAATAACTATGACCACAGGGCTTTTCTAGAATGGAAGGGGGTGGAGGGTAATGGCATAAATGTACAGAATAGTGTCTCAAAGATGAAAATCCAGTTGAGATAGGACAAATTCAGGACACAGTGAAGGAACAAGATTCAGCAGTCGTAACAGCCACAAGTGTTCGAGCACATTCTGTATGCGATGTCTTGAGTTGAGTTCTTTTTGGGAATGATCTCATTTACTGTGGGAGCAAATGGGTAAGAATCATTATCATCCCAGTCTTGTAGCTGAGACTTAGAGACGCTAGGTAGCCTGCCAGAGGTCTCAAATAGCAAGTGCTACAACTGGGATCCCCTGCAGGTCTGCCGGAGCTGTGATCACCCCACTGTACTGCCTCTCTGTGTGAGCGATAATTAAATGACAATCGTGAACCATTAGGGCAATGGGCAAAAGCAGAGATGGAAGGAAGGACCCCAGTTCAGGGTCTGGTGGAGAGCTTCTGAGAGGCTGGACCTTGAACTAGGGGAACACTTGGATAGATGGGCAGTTGGAGAAGATTGGAGGTGGGAGGGGTGGTGAGAGCCACAGCAGCGGATGAGGGTCGATGTAATCAGACTCTAAGTGACGGCTGCATTTTGTAGATCAGAACGTGCTTTCACCTCTGTCACCTTATGAGTTTTACAGTATTCCTGTGAGGTAGTTAAGGGGGGTGTTATCAATCCCACTACCCACAGGAGGAAACAAGCTCCGAGTTAAGTGACTTGCTCATAAATGGTAGAATCGGAGTAAATTTAAATCTCCTGTCCAAAGATCTGTTCCCTCTACAAAGTTGAGCCAGGCAAATTCAAGGATCATCAAAGGATGCCTAACTGGTAACAAGGCACTTTTAGAAAGTATTTTAATGAGGCAGCTAATTAATTTTTTATTCAGAACAGTAACACAAACACTTAATAAAATCTCTTTGTATACATTGGATGTTGGTTTAGATGTACTATTATAGTATATGAATTTGAAACATGTCTATTTTCTAGGTGTTCAATGTCAATTATGTATTCTTTTAACAAATATTTATTGAGCTCCAACTATATGCCAGACCCTGAGGTTCTTTTTAATATTTGGTACAGCTATACAACTTTCAGAAAATGAAGCACAGGTGTAGTAGCCATGCAAACTGAGCAGGGTTGCTCTCTCTGAATTTTTGAATCTCTTTCCTGATGACAGCTGCCCCCACCAAGGTCCCCAGAGTCTCCTCCAAGATGATATGCTCGAAAAATTCCTTCCCGCTTTTCCAAGTGAGGGAGTTAGGCCCCAACTACAGTGTAATACTTTTTCCTGAGAGGTGGATGCTACATGTGTGAGATGGGAGGGCTCTTCCCCTAGAGTCCGGTGGCCTGTTCTTGTTTGGCCTGAAAGGGCTTGGGAACTGGGCCTCCTTCCAAGCTCTGATATTTCACTGTATCTGTGGCTGGAGTTCCAAGAGTGAAAAGCAACCTCAAATAAAATGAAGGTCTAAGAGAGAGGAAAAGAAAACCCCCAACCCCCAAAGGCACATTACTTGGAAACAAGAATGTTTCACCTCTGCTTCTCCTTTCTAAAGCTCTACCCTCAGCACCATGGCCCCACTGTGTCCTCATGTCCCTGACCTTTTTCATGTCCATTCTCCCCGTTTTTGGTGGTGGAGTGCAGGGGGACAGAGCACTAAGAATGGCGCCTGGGGTTAGGAATATGGCCAATAACAGTACGTGTCATTTATGGACAGCTGGCTGTGTGTCAGGCACTATGTTACTGACTCTGTGTATGTTATTCCATTAATTGTCCCAAGAAAGGTATTATCATTCCTAGTCTATGGATGAGGAATTCGAGGAGTTCACAAAGTTACTCAGTGACAGAATCAGAATAAAAACTAGGTAGGATCTGTCTCCAGACCATGCCCTTAGCCCCATGAAATGCTTTGCTCAGGGCACTCCCATGGGGAACCCCCACTATTTCTAGCAGCCGAAAGGGGATGGGGCTGCTCGAGGCAGGTTGAGGAGACCCAGAGCACCTTGTTCCACATCCCGTGTTCCTCTGCCTCCCCACCTCTGCGGGTCTTCATCTTTTAGGTTACCCTCATCACAATTTAAAAACCTCCCTCTATATTGTTTCCAAGGTTTCCCGCAGCGCTAAAAGTATATGTGGTTATGCTATGGGTCCAAACCATGGCTTCAAAAATAATTTCAGGGATAGAGTTATAAACAGTTATTTTATTGTAAAATACATGGAATTTTCTGTGTTCCCTGGTTATCATACTTTTTCTCCATTAAAAAAATGACGTAAGTTGTA